TTTTCTCATTAAGAGTCATTGCAACTTGGAATGCTCTCCCCGTTGAGGTGACTACAGCCCCCTCAGTGGATAGATTTAAGAAAAGACTTGATAAAAACGTAACCACATACGGATCATCATCTCCCTCGTGGACAAACTGTGCCTGATGCAGGCCTTGAGACTCGCTAGTCAATAATACTGCCATCTCCTCAGATCGATCACTTAATCTATCTCGTCTATTATCTCTGTTTCCTCTTCCTTAAAATAAATTGTAAATCATTTACTTAGTCCTGAAATCTTACTCTTATCAGCATTAGAATTTTCTCCTTATTATTCTCCACATTGTGACTAACTGAGCTCCGGTCTGGTAATGTGATAGCTGCTGGTATCCAGAAACCCTACTGTCCTGAAACAAATGTATTCACTCAAATCAAGGGACATATAAACTCACAAACCACTGCCAACTGACTAGAATTAGACAGTCGAGTGGCTAGAACTCGATTCACTGGACACTAGCAAACACCTGGAACCGTACTGAGAGAAAAAGAATCGAGGGCAGAGAAATAAACTGGTTTATACCAGCTTGTGGAAAAGATATTAGACCAAGGTATAGCAGCAGCTGAAGGTTTTACATATATATATGGAATTTCAGCGAATAATTCCATAAAGAAATTTGACGAATAAAAATGAAGATTTATAAGACCAAAGTACTGAAATATATGGCGTAAATAATCGAACAGACAATCCGCTCAGTATGCACACATGCCAAAAGAAAGTGATTGGTTGCAATCCTAAACATCAATGGGAAAATTCAAACCAAAACAAGTGAATTAATAAAAGGTAGTATAACTTCCACAGGATGTGTAAATAAAAAGGTGTGCGAAATGAATAAGCTAACATTGGGTAGAAGCGTGAACGGAATAAGATGAATAAAATTTTTTATCAAAATAATTTAAGCCATTGAAGGAATTAAATAGAATGATATCAAAAAGATTTATGCGTAAAATCATAGAGACAAGATACATAATTAATGAGACATAGGATTTTTCCAGACACAAAATCAATCAAAAGAAAATATGGCAATAATACTGTAGGGTCGTAGTAGAAACAAAGGCGTTATCAGACATGATTCAGAATAGAAGTCAGTGGCAATCTTACGGTAACTTTATTTCATTTTCACATAAGTAAAAGTAACTTCTTTAACTGAAAGGATTCTTACTGATAGTAATTTCCTTAACTGTTTCTCCCGTTATTATCACCAATATTTCACCCTCGTACACTAATTTTATTCATTTTTTCGTTAAACTCAATCTTCTCTATCTCTTCAAAACCTCATTTTTAGTGTGTGGGGCATATATATTTTGGTGCCTACTTGTACCAATATTTATGTGTTTTAAATGAATAAATGTGGTCTTTAAAGAAGGATAGATAAAAGACGAACATAACAGTTAAGTTATTACTGTGATTTTCTTGGAAATTACTTATCGGTTTATAACTATCTGTCGTATTAATTTTCTATTAACGTTGGGTGCGTAAATCAGTCCCTGAAATGTTTACTAAATCAGAATATAAAATCCGTAACAGATATAAAAAAGGTTTACAAGATCTGGATAAATAAATGTTTGAACGCTCACCCTCATCAGCTGTCTTCGTTCCCTTGTGACTAGACATATCAGTATCACAAAAGCCAGGACAACACTGTCAAATTCATAAAAAAGAAAAAGGTTGGAACGAATTTTTTCGATATATTCAGATGAAGTATGAAGAAAACTAAGTAATTCTAGACTTGGAACCAACATGCACAAAATCGGATTTAAATTTTACGATTATCAAACTGTAATTTTAACGTATAACACTTATGAATATAAAACCCATAGAAAATAACCTTTGAAAAAGTTATATTTAAGCATACGGGATTAGAATATTGTTTTCTTTTACAGGTGTACACGTCTACTTACTTTGTTCGAACTAACTAAATAAACTAAGGATATAAATAGCTACTCTTGAAACTAACCATAACCACATACCTTGAAAAATATCAAACAAACTCAAAGAATAATGGTGAAAGCAGGATTAGTGCAGGTTGGTGGCATCTAGAAAAAGAACAACTATACCATTAAGCCACTTTTAAGTTAGGTGACAAAGATAAGTTTATATATTATAATATAGTAACCAATTCATTGTTACGCAATTAAATCTAACAAATAATTTAGTTGAATTATTTCTGATTTTCTGTTACCCTGATTGTAATTCGAGAACGCGTACTACTGACTACCAATCCCAAGCTTCTATACAGATGAATTATATAACTTTTGTACAGATATCTTGGAATCCAAGTGATGAAAACATCATTCTTCAGAGTGTGACAATATCTCTAGAAAACTTCAACACAAACTTTCATAATTTAAACAGCACAGTCTCTATGTTAGCTTGGAAGTAAACTCAGCCACTGATATTTATGAAATCACAACGCTTTATCTGATGAGTTGGCCTAAGTTTCTTCAGAAAGTAATCAAAATTACGATTACCAGACATAAATAAGGTGTAGCAACGAACTGTCCGTTCTAATATTGACGAATGTTGACAAGGACTCTTCCATATGATTGTTTTTTACAGCAGCAAACCATAGAGTTTATTTCCAAACAGTTATCAATATGCAAAAAATAGCCAAACTTGATTTATATAACGTTGTTGAGAAATTTACGGGCTGTAGAGCACCAATGAACAATAGCAAATGTAAACAACAGTTCATTTCAAACGCAATTAAGGTTTCGGGAAAAAGTGCTCAGTAATGTAGCAAAAATTTTGTGACACCATATTTCATAGAAAATATAATCATGAAACTTGAGTCATTTGTTTTAGAATCTAACAAATCAATATGAGCACAACAAGTCTTGCAGCTTAAATTAACAGCATGAATTAGGACTTCGAAAATTTCGGACTTACAACAGGATCATCAGTTAGTTCATTCATTATGCATAAGTACACCTAATTTAAACTGTTGATGAATTTGTACATACACACTAAATTACATGGTATTTTTTAATTTGAAACGATTACTATCCTAATTCTGAGATTGAACGGATTCGTACAAAAAAAACACAAATCAT